GTCATAATTAACACTCTGACGATTAAGTTAGCCACTAGTTGAGAAAGTGATTTAGGTTTTCAAAGAGTAGAGAAAACTTGAGTGATATTGCATACTTTATTTTTTATTTTTTTTTAGTTACCTTCCTTTTATAGAGATGGTATAGAAATTTCTTAAGTAATTTGACTTGCTTGCCATCATCATCACAATGTCATAGCCCAAGTTCTTATTATAACCTTCAAAAAGAGACAGCATAGGCCCACTTAGTTACTCGACATAAATGTCTACTGTTGCTATCGATGATATCTACTCGACGTATTACTTAATCGGCGATTATGCTACGTAACTCGAAATTTTCGAGGTCGAATTTGGCTCGAAATTAAAATGACGTCGTTTTGGAACGGTAGTTTCGTTTTACGAGAGGGATATTTAATGAAAATTATCTTACCAGTAAGAGAATTTTCATATATCTTACCAGTAAGAGAATCCAAAATGACGTCGTTTTAGGTTTCGAGCCAATTCGAGTCAATTATTTTCGAGTTACCAAACATTTTTCCTTAATCCGAACGGGGATGTTCGGCGTTGAACCTCTGCAATCTAGTGGATTTGGTTAGATTTGGGCTCAAGGTTGATAGGTCTGGAGGTGTTGGTTTTTTTTTTTTTTTTGGTACACCAAAAAGAAAGATGTGTTTGGTTTGCTAAACACATTAGACAAATAAAAATATTACAACACCTCTCATCCTCAAATTTATTTATTTATTTCTTTATTTAAAAATATTTAAAGCCTTCCTTTTCAAATCTCTATATAAAAAATTTATTATTTTTTAAAAAATTCACATACTTCAAAATGATTAAGAATATTTCAAAAGAAATGATAGAGAAATGGGTCTTTTAAAATCGCACCTAGAGCGCATAACATTCAAAATTTTTTTTTCTAAATCACACCCATAAACAGAATATCTTGTTGTTCTGTCTCTCAAAAGCCAAACGTGAGAAAAATTTCTTCTATATCAGAGCTTCCTCTCTCCATGATTCTCTCTCATCCTTTTCCAAATTCCAACGAAAATTGCTATCCTCTCTCTCACACACTTGTTATGCAAAAAAAAAAACTCTCCCCATGTACCCGTGCTGTACCGTCTTATCACAATCACCAAATTTTTTCGCAAAAAAAAAAAAAAAAAAAAAAAGAAGTAAAAGAAAAGAAAAGCAAAAGTATTTTCCTATGAACCAAACACAGAGATCGACCCAAAAGTACGGCAGTGGACAGTGGGTCTTTTAATTGGGCTGGTGTGGTGAGGATAGAAACTCACCTCGAAAACGATGATGCGACACACCTAACGCGGAGAAGTTATTGGTGAGTCCTAGATACCGGCTGTCTTACATACGTTCTGATTGAGAGAGATTTTTTATTGGGCATTTGAAAATTTTGATAAATTATTTGAAATTTATAATATTTTTTTTAAAAAAAATATAAAGACATGAAAATTTATGGTTAGCCGAAAATATGACCACGTGTGTCCTTAAACTAATTAATAATTTTTTTTCGTAAGGTGCCAAAGCTAAGAGCCCTAGGCTATAATAATATACTCCTCCGTCCCATAATATTAGTCCCTTATTCCATTTTTCATTGTCCCAAAATATTAGTCCCTCTTCAAAAATCAAGTACAAAATAATATAAATTTCCCATTTTGCCCTTCTTTTAAATTCATAAATAATATAAAAAGTACAATTATGACATTGATATTCTCAAAAAAGTGTACTATCAAAGGGTAATTTTGGAAAACCAACTTTTTAAAAATACAATAATTGTACTACCAAAAAAAGTTAGATTCCCCAAAAGGGACCATTATTTTGGGACGGAGGGAGTATATATATTAGTAATATTATGAACTTACTCTTATTAACTCAAAAATTATTTAAATTTTTTTATTTTATAATTTAAATTTATTTTACACGAGCTCACATAGGCTCTAAATATATTACAAGAACTACGAAGACATTTACAATATGTGATCAAATTTGAGTATCAAAATAGGGTATCCTAGCATTACTCACTTTGTTTGGTTTAATTTTTAAAAATTATTTTTAAGTTTTTTGTTTCTCAATTTTTTATTTTTATTTTTTTGAAACTTTTTTCGTGCTATTGTCAAATGAATTTACATTTTAGATGCACTTTAATAAAAAATATTTGTGAAGAAATATAAAAAAATTCACTAAATATATAAAAAAAAAATTTTAAAAATGTGCTATTTGTTGTGTAACATGTGGATAAAGAGCCATATTCTTAGTATATGATTATTCAAGGGGGGAAGTGTTGTGTGAAATGCGGATAACCTCACACAAGTTGCTTCCCTCCCATGTATTCAACGCTGTTGCAGACCTCTAATTAGAGGTGCAGCTGTACAGCTCTAGTGAGCTGTCAAGCAATAAAAAAAAAAAAACAATGAAATAAAAGACAAAAGAAAGGGAAGAAAAAGATAAATTAAAGCTTCATTAGTGGTCTTTTTTTAGAGGTCTAAATCATTTTTCATATAAGAATACATTTAAAAAATAATGTGAATATAAATAGCATTACAAATTTTTTAAAACTAGATGATTAAAGGAGAATTTTTTTTAAGGTCCTTGTTATTCAGATTTTATAAGATAAAACACATACAATATTTTCACAGTGATTAGATCTCTCAATATTTTTTCAGAAAAATTTTAATTTAGAAAAATTTTAAAATTTCAAAAAAACAAAAAATTTTAAATAGAGCAATTTCAAACAAATTTATCTGTGTTTTGAAAACTCTTTGCTTTGCTCACAAGTTCTTCTGTTTTTTAAACAATTTTCTCTATGTTTTGACTGAGGCCTCGTTTGGGAACAGAAAATCAAAACAAACAGAAATCTTAAGTATATGTGATTTTTTTCATCTAAAAATAAAGAGTTTATGTAATTTTTAAGATAATTGATTTATATTATTAAAAATGAAGAGAATTTTATTTTTATTTATTCATGATTTTTATTGTGTATATATATATATATAAGAATACATTTAAAAAATAATGTGAATATAAATAGCATTACAAATTTTTTAAAACTAGATGATTAAAGGAGAATTTTTTTTTAAGGTCCTTGTTATTCAGATTTTATAAGATAAAGCACATATAATATTTTCACAGTGATCAGGTCTCTCAATATTTTTTCAGAGAAATTTTAATTTAGAGAAATTTTGAAATTTCAAAAAAACAAAAAATTTTAAATAGAGAAATTTCAAACAAATTTATCTGTGTTTTGAAAACTCTTTGCTTTGCTCACAAGTTCTTCTGTTTTTTTAACAATTTTCTCTATGTTTTGACTGAATCACAAAAAAATCCACTTCACCGCCATCGTCGCTTAGGCCATCCTCTTTGATTCCGCCAAGAAATCCATGTACGACAATGACCTAAACCTCAACCCAACTACATTGCTACCGTCTGCAAAAGCAATCAACCATTTTTCTCCATAACCGAACCACATAGAGAGAGAGAGTTAAAAAAGCTTCGAGGCTATCTTTGAATTCAATTCATATCATATGGTGACCCACTGCAAGTCTGCACCACCAAACAACCCATATTATAAAAAGGATTCCATTTCCTGTTGAAATATGGAGGCGCATCGCCGTATTGCCCTTCTCTCTTCTTACCTTTGCCCAATAATCACTTCTCCTGAAAATGGAGAGTCATCCTCGAAGAGTCGAAGCAGAAGGAAAATAGAGAGGAAAAAAGGAGGAGAGGGAATGAGAGAGTTGGATATGATAAAGATGTGGTTGAAGGATCTTAGTTAAAAAAAAATATATGAGTTATGCTAGGGACTCCAAATAAATTATCAAATTTTTTATCAAATCTCTCACATGGTTGTGGGACTCACACACATTTGATTTGTGTGAATCTTACACCCATGTGAGATATTTGGTAGAAAATTTGGTAATTTGTTTGGGATCCATAGCATTTTCCAAAAAATATTATAAACTTCTCCCATTATTAAAAGTTTGAAAGAGATATTATACTAAGCCTTCGTTTAGCTAACTTAGGCCAAGTTTGACATCTACTAAATAATACAAAAAGTTAAAAAGTCACTATCCTATTTAAGTCACATCATCTTATTTAAATCACATCACGTCTATAACACATCACATCAAACTCAACCCATATAAGCCAATAAGTCAAAAAGTATACTTTTTTAGAACATCCCAAACCAACCCTTAGTTGGGTTAAAAAAATACAAAAAATAAAATAGACTAAATAAGTTAATAAGATAAAATTTCACATCTAAACTAAAATTGTTTTTTTTTCCTCATAATAAGTCAAAAAAGTCAAAAAAAATCAAACCAAACGAACTTTTTAATCCCAAATTAAAAAAATCTCAACTCAAAAAAGCCAATGCCAAATAGGGACTAAATATCCCTAATTAAAGAATTTAAACTATAAAATAATCCCAAGGGCACACCCACACATTAATATTAACAAATACATTAGTATTAACGAATGTACAAATTGGTAGGATGGTAAATAAGTCGATTCTAGTATGATATTTTGTTTAAATTTAACCGGAAAATGTAATAAATTTGAAAAATATGTTAAAGATTTGTTTATTTAAGTAATGAACTGATTTAAAACAAATATTATAAGCACACAAATCAAATTAAAAAATTTAATTTTTAAAAATTTAAATGGACTTACCAAGAGATATATTCCAAATTGACTTGAAAACTTAACAAAATTTGACGAGTCAAACACCAATTCAAACTAAAATAACTTAATTAGTTTTACAATTCTACAAGTTGTACCATAACAAAAATTATTAGTTGATTTAGAAACGTCCGTGACCATTCACAAAATCCATGCTCTTTCATATTTTCAATTGCCCAATATAAAATCTTAAACCTTATCATCTCCACCAATACAAAACATACATGAAGCACCACTTAACAATGCCTCAGGCCCAACCAATAGCTTCTCCTACCATAATATAAAAAACAAAATTAACAAACAACAATATTTCATGTCGGCTACCTTATTTCAATATGAATACGAGGTAGAAATATGTATTTTTGCACTCTTTAATCCTTTATATATATATACACATTTCATAGTGCAACAACTGCGCATTTCCCAATTCTTTTTTTTTTCTTCCCAATTTTCCCAAGCCCGAGACCTCGAAAATTAAAAAAACAAACAAACAAAAAAAATCAAAAGTATCTCCATGTTAGCCGGTTGCCGGTAAAACCCATCATGACTACCGCGAAACCGACTCAGCCAGTTTTCCGATTCGTTCAACGAGCTCCGGCGACAGCTTCTTCACCGGTTTCCTCTCCTTCTCCAGTCGAAAATCAAACCCCAACGCATCCGAAACCTCTTCAGAGCTCCACCCGGCCTTCCGGAGCGAATCCGAGAACCGATCCGTTTTCAGGAGCAGAGCATCGAGAACCGATTGGTTGTCTAGAAGAACCATCTCACCTTCAAAGAACCCGGAGGCCGACACGTGTACGATCTCTGCGACGTCCGATTCCTCCCACCCGCTTTCTCTCAACACCGACCCAATTTGCCCGATATAGTCTTCGACCCATTTTGGCATTTCTGATCTGGGCATGTCGATGTACCGTTCTGGAGACGAGGACGAAGAAGACGAGGAGTTCGAGTTCCTCCGCCGCCGATCCACGGCGGCATCGCTCCAAAACTCGACCCATCTGGGTGTTCTATGACCCGTATTGGTATCAAGGCTTCTACGAGAGAAATTCGATGACGACCCGGCAGATTTTTCTCTGACGGATTGTTGTTTGGAGAGGACTTGTGGGTCTAAGCTCTGAAACAAGGAAGATTCGCGATCGAAGAAATCAGAGAGATCGAAACCACAGCAGAAAATTCGGGTCTCGTCAACGAAGAAGATGGGATTTCCAGCTAGTGAAGGATTGCAAGGAATGTAGCAATGGTTGAAAATGGGTATCAAAAGTGGAGCTTTTTTAATGGAGTTTCGAGCGATTTTGAGGGCCTTTTCCGGGTCGGATGGTCTTGGACCCCAAGACTTCGACCACAGCGCATTGCGCGCGATGTGGAATGAGATTGCGGCGATAGGGAGGTTTATGGAGGCGCGGAGATGGAGCCGAGCGGAGCCGCCGGAGCGCCAGTCGGGGAAGCCGGGGCCGACTGGTAAACCGGCGGAGAGAACCGCTTTGAGGTCGGGTGGGAAAGGGAAGCCGAACTCGGCCTCGGCTCGGGCGAACTCGGCGTCGGACAAGCCTGTTTGGACTTGGATTCCGGAGTTTTTGAGGTGGGTGATGACTTTGTCGGCGAGAGAAGTGAAGGAGAGGCGGCCGGTTCGGACCGGAAGGGTTGAAGAAGGTGGTGGGGCGGCGGCGGCTCGAGCGGAGAGGCGGCGGAGGCCGGCGATATGGGCCGGGTTCAGACCGGTCATTCTCCGGTCCACGTCGACCATAGTGATAAATGGATACTTCGATTGGGAATGTTTCGCCGGAAATTCGTCGCCGAAAAAATGTAGTTTGGTGAGAGAGGCGTGGAAGTGAAATAAGGGAAAGTAGAGAGAGAGGGTTTTTGGCTTGTAGACAAACGTTGGGTATTTATAGCAGAAGCAGAAGATACTCAAAGTTTTCATTATTTACTATTTTAGGGATTGGATTAAAATTCACTACTCAATTTTTAATTTACTTTTCTCTTTTATAAAAAAAAATCAAAAAATAATTTTTAATTATCTTTCTAAAACACTCCTTAATTTCTTAACATTGTGTTTAGTTAAGATATTTAAATTTGAAAAGAAAAATAAAAGATTAGAAAAGAAAAGAAAAGAAAAAGAAAAAATTTCTTTACATTGTCTTCATGTCCAATATTGCCACTTTAATAAATCATTAATTTTTTAATTTCTAAAATAACATTTGTTTAAAACCGGTGTCATAGGTTTTTTTTAATAAAAAAAATTGAAATAAAAGGCTCTTGCCATTATAACCATGACACTAGTACACTTCTAGCTAGGGAACGTTTAGGTCAAGTTTGGCTACAAAGAAAAAAGTGCACTTATTTCATCTTTTTATCTTTTTTGGGTCACATCAATCAACATCTCCTCTTTATTTTTTTTACACATAATACAAAAAAAAATCAAAAAGTACACTTATTTAGTCTTTCCAAACTAGGCCTTAATGTCATAGGTTTGATTTTTTTCCCCTCAAAAAATCGCTAAACATCAGATCATACAAAATCTCGTAACAGATAAACAATCTAGTGTCATGGTTTCAATGGTAAGATCTTTTAATTTTAATTTTTATTAAATTTGAGTAAAATTTTATAAGTTTGTTATCAAATAAAACAATCTAACTTTATTGTTTTTATGATCAAATCTTTTTAAAAAAATATCCACCTGTTTCTCGTTTTTCTCGTCATCAAAAAACCCTCTCTAGACAAGACCGAATCTATTCCATCAGTTTTCTCGAACACCCAATTTCCGGAAATGGATTTTTTCACTACCCATTTCCCCAAAATCGAATCTTTCACTTCTTCATCACCCTCGAATCTCTCAAACCCATGAAAAAATGGGTTTGGGTGCGTTTTAAACACTAGTCAGAGCTTATTTACAAGATTTTGATTAATGGGTAGAAGTGATTTCAAAGTTTTGAAAGGCAAAAGAGATGGGTTCTCGGATTTGGGGCTTCAATGGAGTCACCCGGAAGGTTCTTATCACCCAGGAGGCCTGTTTGCTAGTGTTGGCCAAGTGGGCAATAATATGGGTTTTGGCATTTCCCCCAATTCGCCTAATTCTCGAGACAACAATGGTGGATTCAAGCTACCTTATACAGATTTATATGTCAAGTATGTGTCTTCGCCGGAGGGTTTTCGGATTGTGGGTGTTCCAGAGGGGACTGAAGAGGAAGGATTGAGGAAGAAGAAGAGTGAGATGAAGCTTAAAATCAAGATTGCTAATCCGGCCTCAACAACCCATCAACAGAAAGAGAGAGAGAGAGAAAGAAGAAGAAAAGAAAAAAAAAAAAAACCCCTCCAAAACGACGTCGTTTTGGAGGGCGATAGGAATGTGCTACAGGATAGTGCGACGGAAGATCCGGATTCGCGAACGTTTAGTGTCATAGGTTTTATTTTTTTCCCCTCAAAAAATCGCTAAACATCAGATCATACAAAACCTCGTAACAGATAAACAATCTAGTGTCATGGTTTCAATGGTAAGATCTTTTAATTTGAATTTGAATAATGCTTGGGACCCCCTTTTGGGGGTCACCCCCTCACCCCCTCTTTGCCACGTGGCAGGTGGTGATTGGAGGAGCAGGAAAAAAAAGAAAAAGAAAAAGAAAAAGTAACCAATGAGAAAGAAAGGGGGTCAAAGGGGGTGGAGGGAAAAGGGGGATAAATCATTGTTGTTTTAATTTTTATTAAATTTGAGTGAAAATTTTATAAGTTTGTTATCAAATAAAACAATCTAACTTTATTGTTTTTATGATCAAATCTTTTTAAAAAAATATCAAACTTACTTTAAAAAACTATTTTTTAACCATTTCTATGAAAGGAAGTCATCTTCAAATATTTTAAATTTTTTTTTATCAAATTTAAATAAATAATAAGACACGATAGATAAAATAATGATTGGAATTGAGATTAATTTGTTTATTTTATTGAGAGAGAGTCATTTTTTTTATTGAGATTAATTTGTTAAAAAATTAATGAGACACGATACATAAACTGAAAACAATTGGACAATACCTTTTGTCAATTTGGAATTCTGATAAATGTTTTACAATGTTGTACATTATAACAATTTCTATGCTTTAGAATTTCTTGAAATGTAATAAAGATCATTGGAAATAAGTAAAGAGGATCACGATAGATAGAGTTGTTTTCAGAATTAGCTATTTCATTTAATTTTTTAGTTTTCTAATAAAAAGATGTTTAAAACAATAAAAAGAATAGTTAATTGTTTTTGCATTGACTTTTTGACTAAAATAAATTTTTAAAAAAATTCAATTCATGTTAAAATTTTAAAAACAATTATAGATAAATGATCAAATTTATAAATATTAATTATTAAAATTATAATCTTTACCATGAAATTGTAATAATATTTTGGGATTACCACTGTGTCGTAGTTTCCCCAATAAATTATTGCCAAATCATCCCTAAATATATTTATACGTACAAATTATTCTCTTCAAAGTATAAGGCATTCAATATATGTGGTCGACGGAAGAAGGAAAAAAAGAAAAAGAAAAGAGGGTACTATTTAGTTTATTTGAAATGATTTTATTAAGGAAAAATTAGTGAAACATCCTCTCCAACTTTGGATAGTAAGAGAGGTCTGATATATTTTATTTTTATTAGCTAAGGTCGTTCGCTGAAATTTTTCTATGATCATACCAGAGAAATTTCTCTGTGAAAATTGAAATTTCTTTGTGTCATGATGAAATTTCTCTGTATTAGGGAGTAATTTCTCTGTGAAAGTGTTGAGAAACCTTAACTACAATAAAAAATATTGTATATTATTTATCTTATAAAATCTTAATATCAGAGATGTTAAAAAAAATTCTCTTTTATTAATTGTAATACATTAAAATTTCTCAGAAACATTCAAATAATAAATTCCTTTAATTTAATGAGTAAAATAAAATAAAATATTATTAGAATTAAGGCTAATTAATATAACGTTGAGTATACTTTAATTAGTAGTTGAAGAACATTTATTAACATTAATCTTAATAAAATCGGACGACATGTTTTTTTTGTTATTTTATAAATTTAATATAAAATTAAATATTTTCAAAGAATAATAATTTTATTCCTAAATTCATCTCAAGCTTTGTATTGTGCAGTAGGCAAGAGAGCTCCTCAATGGGAATGGCATGATTTGTCTCATAGATGTTGGACCTGCTACTTACCTTGGGTGGGGTGGAGTTATCCTTCTTTTAATTATTTTTTACTTTTTATTTTTACATTTGAATAACATTAAAGATTCTAAAAATTTTATCAAAAATTTTACTAATATCTCATATGGGTGTGAAACTCACATAAGATCCACATTATATGGGTCCCACATCCATATAACATTTGTTGAAATTTTTGGTGGAGTTTTTGTGATCTCTAACATTTTATTTACATTTCTTCTCTACTAAGACTCCCAACCAAAAAAAAAAAAAATAGTAAAATATCCCTCTCCAACTTTGTATAGTAAGGCTTCGTTTGGGAAGCCAAATGTTGGGTTTTTTTGGCTAAGATAGCCACAAAAAACAAAATATATTTTTAGTCACAAAAAATAAAACATCACATCCAATTCATAATCATTATATTCTTTCTCTTACAAAAAAGTCAAAAAAGCCAAAATTCCTTCTCAAATGAAGTTTTTTAGCCCAGGTTAAAATAGCTAAAAGAGTCAAAAACCAACCCACTTCCAAACAAACCCTAAGAGAGGTCAAAGATGTTTTTTTAATTAGTTAAGGTCTTTCAATGAAATTTCTTTGTGATCATACCAAGTAAATTTTTCTGTGTTAGGACCAAATTTTTTCTGAATCGAATTTTCTTTGTGAAAATGTTAAGGGACTCTAAAAATATCGTATTTCTTTTATTTTATAAAATCTTAATATTAGAGATCTTAAAAAAAATCTTTGCCCAAAAAAAAAAAATTTTGATATATTACTAACTCTTTTTTCATTCAAGCGGTAGTTAAGACAAAAAAAAAAAGAGTGTTTTAAAAAGTGACAAAAGGATAGAACTGAGAAAAAACTTAAGAGCTATGGATTGACTAATAAGGAGGTCAAAAAAGTAGTGAGAGAGGCGAAGTTGAAAGCTTATGATGACCTATACACTAGACTGGATAGTAAAGAGGGAGAGAATAGGGTATACAAACTTGCTAAGATACGAGAGAGGAAAATAAGAGATTTTAATCAAGTTAAGTGCATCAAGAGTAATGATTCTAAGGTATTGATGAAGGATGAAGAGATTAAGGAAAGATGGAAGAACTATTTTGAGAAACTATTAAATGAGGAACATGAAAGTATGACAATAGGGGAAGAAATGACTAGTAATACGATAAACCAAGACTATAGTTTTATCGCAAGATTAGGAACTTTGAAGTGGAGATTGTACTTAAAAAGATGAAATCAAATAAGGCTTTAGGACCCGATGATATCCCTATTGAAGCTTGGAAGTGCTTGGGTAAAAAGGGGGTTGTTTGGTTGACTAGGTTGTTTAGTAAAATTTTGTTGACTAGGAACATGCCAGATGAGTGGAGGAAGAGTATTTTAGTGCCAATATATAAGAATAAAGGAGATGTCCAGAATTGCAACAACTATAGAGGAATCAAGCTCATGTGTCATATAATGAAAGTGTGGAAAAGGGTGATGGAACGCCGATTATGAGATATAACAGAGGTGTCAGAGAATCAATTTGAGTTTATGCCTGGCAAGTCAACAATGGAAGCGATTTATCTTTTGAGGAGAATAATAGAAAAGTATAGAGAAAATAAAAGAGACATTCATATGGTGTTTATTGACCTTGAGAAAACATATGATAGAGTTCCCCGAGATATAATATGGTGGGTGTTAGAGAAGAAATGGGTGACAAAAGATTATATTGATGTGATTAGGGACA